GTGCATGGAAATGATTAATACGCGTTAGTTAGGAAACAAAACTGTGTATTGACCTTTCAATTTTAGAATTATAATAGAGTTCAAATATATCAATAATACTTCTTTGTAAATTGGAAAAATATAGGCTTAGTCCATCTGCTCTTGAATTGCTCAAAAGTTATCTGACGACAAGAAAACAGTGTGTGAAAATAGGACAGAGTATCAGTCAAATGCAAGATATCTATAAAGGTGTTCCTCAGGGATCTATATTAGGCCCTGTATTATTTAATGTATTCATAAATGACATCTTTCTTTTTGTCAAACACTGTGATTTATATAATTATGCTGATGATAACACCCTCTCTAAATCAGGTACTACTTTGGAATCAGTAATAAAACCTTTAGAGGAAGACTGTAACTCCCTAATATCATGGTTCTCTTTCAACAAAATGCAGGCAAACCCAGAAAAATTCTCAATATAAAAAAATACAAAAAAAAAAACAATTTAAGCACTTGCACATTTGACTATGAGGTATACTGCAAATAACAAGTATATTTAATAAAGGATATTTAATATGACTTATCTGCAGAAAGCACCAAGAGTCGGTGCTTAAAGGGAAGTCCCTACTTGTACTTAATGCAGATGAGTCAAACTCCTAAATTATTTAAAATATATTTTAAAAACATATTTTTAAGATTATAGATTCTGTGTCCAGCCAATAAGGATCATCAAGGGACGGTGCCAGAGAATTTGAAATTCTTCTTATGATCTGTGCAGGCTTAACAGGGTATCCAAATTCATATTAAAGAGTTATATTGAAATTAGTTATTGCAGATTATGTTGTCCTTCAGTTCTTAGTATCTTCTATATATTTATAAAATGCAAATAGTAGATTGGGATCCTCATTATTCATTATCCAAATTAATTTGTTATTAATATTTAAATTTTGAAAGTTTGGACATGATTTTAATATATTTTGCATCAATTCCTCTCTTTTTAATAAATGAGTGTCATATTTAAATATAAAATGAACTTCATCCTCAACCTCACCTGAGGTGCACCTGAGACAAATTAGGTTTTGTCGAAGAGTACCCTGGTATCTACCAGATTCAATTTGCAATTTGTGAGCAGATATTCTTAATCTAGTATTACTAATACATTTCCTTTGCTCAAAATGTCGCATTATTGACAAATAATTTTCAAAACCGACGTTGCACTTGAATGTTACATAAGTTCGTAGTTTACCATCTTTATGTATATCTAGCTGTTTTTTTCCACAATGCAGTATAGTATCCCTTAACAATCTGACCACAGTGTAATTTAAATGTTGAATATTTTTCAGGAATATGCTTTTCTATGCCTGACATTTTTTCCCTTAAAATATTAATTGATCCATACCAAGAGGGCTTTTTTGTTTCAAATAGCTTTTTAGAACAATTATATGCAGCTTTTAACAAGGGAAATGATGAGCCAATATTTTCTAAACGATGCCAATATCCTAAAACATGTTTGACTATGTCATAGTGCAGTGGAAAACGTCCTAATTCAGACAAAACTGCAAAGTTTGTACTTTTTCTATTAACACCTAAAATATATTTGCAGAGTTTAATATGAAGTTTTTCACAAAGTATCCTTGAGTAAATTGTATCCACTGATATGTTTTCTTTTTTTAAACGTGCAGTGAAGGGATTAAAATATCCCCAAATTTCACACCCATATAAAAGTATAGGCTTTATTGTATGGTCAAAAACATGAATTGCATTTTTAACAGTAGGATTATGCACTAAAAAATCATTACATAATCTGAAGTACGCTTTTAAGGCTCTTTGGTATAAATCATTCTGAGCATATAAAAAGGAACATGATGCATTAAATTGGATACCCAAATATTTATAATTGGATACACACTCCAGCTCATCTTTGTTGAAAATAAATTTCTGAGAGATATGTCTGCCCGCCTTGTTGAATATCAACACTTTAGTTTTCTTGGTATTTATATTTAAGCACCAATCATTGCAAAAATCATGAAGTTTATTTAATTTTTCTTGCAGTCCTTCTGCTGAGTTAGATAAAATTACAATGTCATCAGCATACATAAGGCAATGAATGAGTTTGCCATCCAGCATAATTGGATCTCTGGTTTGTGTTAAATAATCTGGAAGGCTATTTATAAATATTTTAAACAAGTTAGGACTCAAGTTATCTCCTTGTTTAACACCAAGCGTGGTTTGAAAGAAATCAGTTATTCTATCATGTATTTTTATACAAGATCTAGTTTCAAGATACATATTCTTAATAACGCTATAAAACCTTGAACTAACCCCAATCTCTAACAGCTTAATTCTAATTCCGGTATGTATTACTTTATCAAAAGCTTTAGGAAAATCAACAAAGCAAGCAAACACTCTCCCATCCTTAGTATTACAGTATTTATCAAAAATACATTTTAAAACAAACATATGGTCAGATATTCTTGCCTTTCTTGTGAAACCTATTTGACAATCATTAATTACATTATTTTCTTCTAAAAAACTATCCAACCTTATATTAAGTATACTGTTAAAAAGCTTACCAATTGCATTAGTGATGGTTAGTCCTCTATAATTATTTGGGTCAGTGACGTCTCCTGACTTATGTAATACTGTGATATAACCTTCGGTCCAATTTCTTGGGTATAAACCATGAGACAGACAAGAATTAAATATTTTCGAAAGAGACGATAGTAAAACATTTTGACTGTGTTTAATCATATTATTTGAAATGTTATCCAAGCCTGGTGATTTGTTACAATGTAGTTTAGAAATGGCAAAAGAAATTTCTTTCTCTGTTATAAGTTTATCAAGATTATTAAAACAAACATTTTTTTTCAAGATTATCTAGCTTTTTTTCCCAACTTAGCCACTCTTTCTTTGAATGAATCATGTATTTGATATAATCCATTGAAATGTGAAACCCACGCAGATGGTGCCACAGCAGAACTATGATCCTTATTATCATTATTTTTTAAATCATTAATTAACTTCCAATAAGATTTAGGATTATCATCATGTAGATTCTGTAACTGTTCAACAAGTGATTTTTTATATTCTTTATACTTAAATTTTCTAAGTTTAGAGTATTGCTTATTATTAATAGTGACCTCTCACTATTGGGTCATAAGGAAATTTTGAATATACTTTACCGTAACTTATTAATTTGTTTCGGAGATGGTACAAATCTCCATCAAAACATTTTTTTTGTCTTTATTTTCTTATTCCATAGTTTATTTCTTTTTAGAGAATAAGTAGCAGCAGACAAGAAAATATGTGATAATTCTGCTGCAGCCTCATCGACAGAGGATTGAGACTCTTTGATTATACTTTTATTAAATGTATCAATTTGTGTTTGTATATCTGGTAATAATAAAGCTGTCTGAAAGTTTGTAGGTGATTCATCTGACCATATGAAGTTTGGAAATTTATCAAACATATTAATATTACAATCATTATCATCAACAGTAAATTTACTTGACATTTCCCATTCCAGTATACAATATGACAATCTGAAATAGTAGGTATGAAGTTGTGAACATAAAAATATAAAATTTGATCCAGAATACTATCCGATGCCATCACATAGTCAACCACACTACTGCCATTTGGCGTATAACATGTGTACTTTCCAAAAACATCCCCTAGGACTCGACCATTTAGTATCCTTAACTGGTTCAGAATACAGAGATCTAATCTAAAAGACTTTTTCCCCTTGAATCAATTGTTGTATCACTGCTTTGTCTTTTTAAGATTTGTTTATCAATGGGGTAGTTATTAAAAAGAGGTAAATAACATTGATCATCATTTAAAATATAATCAGAGGAATTAGCAATTCTTGCATTTAAATCACCACACAGTAAAACATTACCCATTTTCATATATTTTGCAGTTTCCTGTTCTAAACATTCAATAATATCCCGGTCGAGTCCCTGGGTATATGATGACATTGAGGGTGGGTTATACACTACACACATATACAAGTCTTTTTGAAAACCGAAAAAATCCTTTTCTAACTTTATCCACATAATGTCAGTATAAGTGTTTTTGAGAATTTTTACATAAGGTTTGAATTTTTTTTTAACTAAGACTGCCAACCCACCAAAAAATCTATTGTTTGCCCTAGTTTTAGGTCTACATACATTATAACAATTAAAAGGACCTATTCTATGAATATTGGACTCATATCCGATGTCACGGTGTTTCAGCAAAAAAAGCCAAATCATATTTATCAATTTCGTTTAAGAAAAGGGGATCATCTGTTTTGTTACCCTCCTTATTCATAAGGCCCCCTAAATTAAGAAAGCACATTTTCAATGACGTGACTGTTCTTGGTGACATAGTCCCTTCTATTCTCGTATTATTTTAAATATCAAAGAAAGTTACACAAAAAATGAAAAAGAATTATTTAGAACACTTTCCAAGTATTTAAATCTTTTATAAACAATATGATAAAGAAATATGCAAAATGATAAACCTTTTTATAAGATGCCAATTAAAGAATCAGAATTAAATGTCCGTCAAGTTAAATCAGTTGTTTGTGTCCTTGACTTTTGATTTTGATTTTTTTTTTTTTTTTTTATAAACTTAGTTAGTAGTGACCCCCCATCCCCACCCCACCTTATTGAAATAAAGGGAATAAAATTAAGGCAATCCTTGCGTTATTTGATATCAACTATATTAATTACAAACTAAGTTCAATTTATATATGACTTTTAACTATTCAAATAATAATGAACAATATTAAAAGTTTACAATGAAATCTTTGTTCATTTATGACATCCTGAATTTTATATGGAAAAAATAGAACATGCAAGTTTTACTGCATATACATGTATATATAATAAAAAGAAAATCATGTTATATGAATATGAACAATATTTATGTGTAGAACAAAATTGACATTATCATCATTGTACAAGGTTACTCTTTAAGAATAAGATCTTCCCAGCATACTATCATTGGTTTCCCTTCCCCTTACTTATATTCCCCTGGGTCGTTACATGTCAACATGGCTAGACCTCCGAGGACATCTTCTCTCCCAGATCTTTCTCGTGACATTACAAAGCTAGCATTGACTAACATCGACGAAAGAGAATTTGTTGAGAAATCAGAAATTTTTAAACAGCGATCATATAGCTCACAGCTTCCATTTTCTTATAAGTGGGTATCGAAATGGGAGAGGCGGACTGTCGAAGATGTTTTTCAAATATATTACAATGACAATTTTTGTGGGAGCCCTTCGGATATAATGAACAGAATTGGATTTGTTGGAAACCTATCAAAAGAGCAGAAAGAATACATTGAATCTATAAAAAGATATCTTCACATTAATGTTGGAGTTGGAGAACTGTCGGAGGTGTATATTGCAAATGTACCTCAGGACAGGCTAATTGTTGACTCAAAATTAAAAGAAAGTTTGGAAAATCTGGATAATGAAAAGGAAGAGTATGACAATTTGTTTTATTTACAACCTCTGGTTCATTTTTTTTAAATCCTTTGTTTATTTCAGTTGTAATAGATTTGAAGTCACGCAAAATTTACTGGGATAAACATCATTATTCCAACAAACATTATTTGACCTTCTTTATCTTTAGGGGTCCAAACCAATATAAAGCTAGACTAATCCAACCCTAAAACTAGTCCTAACCCAAACATATTCATAACATTAGTCCCAACCCAAAAACCTTACCCTAACTCACACAGTATATAGGGACTCCTGAAGTAAGAGAAGACTCATTATTTGGACATTCGTCAATCAGACAGTGGTCAAAGACCTCCATTACTATTTCAGCACCTTGAAAGACATTAAGCTGTAATATAACAATGAGAATGTACAGAGTATGTAACGTAAGCTTAAGGGTACCCAAATTGCACGTATTTTGAGAGTTTTTCACCTTGTTAACTTTAGAACAGACAAAAAGGGTTTCCATTCTGTGTTTATTTTGTAGTTGATCCTTATTTACTACATGTATTCGGTTCCACAAATTTCATTTTGATTCCATACTGTATTATAGAAAAATGGGTTTTGACCAACCTCCAAACAATTTAAGATTTTGAAACCAGGAGTACCTATATTATGCACATACACATATGCTTAACTTCACATGCATATATATATATACAGTGTTTTCCCTGGGCTAATTTAGAATAGCAGTCCCGCTATGCATTAATTTCGGCCGCCATGCTTTGAATAGCACCGCTACGCCTTCCCATACGTGAAAAAATTATCGGCTGTGTATATTTATTATTGATATAATTGATCATAATTTGTAAACAAGAAGTGACAAGTGACAAAACGCAACAGGTGATGACACGTGTTCTGAATCTACCGACTGATAATTGGCAACACATCACATGCTGGACATTTACAACCTCGTTTATGATCTAGTGTCCCCGTTTAAATGATAAATTGATATAGAAGTCAGCTCCCACATATCTTTCCATGGTAATAAAGTTTTAACCTTTTCTCCATGACACTGGAGGTTTAACATCGAGATTTAAGTTACATGTAATCATAAAAACCCCAATATTTAAAATATCTCAACGTGAATATTGTCTTCTAAAGAAATTTCATCAGAAATAGGTGAAAAAAACAAATATAATTGAGGTTTTTCATAATTTTTTCGTATGTTAATTACAATGTTCGATATTTTTTTTTTTATTAGCCAGTACACGTTGCTATTTTTAGATTGATTGTGTCAAATACACATCACTGATACAAAGTTTAAATGAGTTGTGGAAACATACGTAGTGAAGATTTAAATGACTTGAACAAGTACTAAAGAAATTGCATTAGGAAGTCTGTGTTTTTCAGACTCTGGCTTAACATTTCAAGTCAGTTGGCACTGAACTTGAATTACTGGAAGATAGGGAACTTAAAAAATAACACACATTTGTAGATAAACACTATCACAGACTTTACCTCTTCTTGTGGACCATGTAGATGGGACATTTATAAATTAATTTATATACATGTGTACTGTTGTCAGTCAGTCTATCTCAGTGTTCTCCCCAGATATTTCATATAGCATCCTGGTAAACAGGGAAATTTGAAATACTATCTTTTTTCTAAAAAAATAGCATCACATCCATAACACAGTCTATAAGAAAATCACTTCAGATAGCATCACATTCAAGAAATATAGCATCACATTACCATGATTTTAAAATGCCCTGGGGAGAATGCTGTATCTGTCCACACGTCATACAAAATCAAGAGACTGTTTTTATCAATTTCAAGTTTATATATAATTAATGACACTTGTTTGGAATATTTGATTAATCATTAATCATTTTAATTTGGTGGAATAAGACTCCTTTTTTTTTCAACGTTTTTCTGATTTGTCATTCCTGAGTTGATTTAAGGTCGTGGACATCCTCATGCAATGTCATGCCAGTAAACATGGTTAATGCCTTCCTCTATATTCTTTTTTCGTGATTTTATTCTTGCTACAATTTCAATATGCATAAGACAGGTGTATCATTGGCTCCTGGTGGAACTGTTTTTTGTGGGTTTAATCCATTTTGTTTCAGGACAGCTTGCAAAAGTAGAACTTGTTGAACTAATGAATATTTAATAAAAATAGTTTTATTGTAGTGGCATTTTTGATATTTTCAGATACATCCGTGGTAGAGTCTATAAATTCCTGTGTTCTATCACTGACCTTCTGGATGCATTAACAGTTTGTAACAATATTTCGGATGCTTATGAAGGACATTATACCACACTGTTTAGTACATTTGCAGAATTGTGTTGTTTAAATGCCAAGTAAGTTTTTTTTTTTGTACATTTGTTTTATTTAAAGGGGCTGCTGTACTGTTTTACCCTTTTTCATCCATCAGTCAATCTGTGTGAATGTTTATTTATCCATCCACCTGCTAAAGAGGTACACTCAACTTTAAATGAAAGTCATTTAATTCAATTTTTACAGTCAAAATAGTGAACGAACTGATTGTCTAACAGCTTAGTTCCTATATGTTGATTAAAACATTTGGTCTTGCTGCTTACACACACGCATATTGTTACTCATATAACCTGATAACAAATAAAGAAAAATAAAAAAAGAGCCATATATTTGTAGATAATTTGAATATTTTTTGTAACTTCCTAAATTTCGTAATTAGCACTTTCAGTTTTGCAGCAACCATGTAGTATTATTGTCCCCCGTGCGACGCATTGCAGGGGAAAAAGAAATACCGGGCATCTGTCTTTACGGTCTTGTAAGGTCTCTCACATGTACATGTACAATTCTTGCCAGACTTTTATCAAACTTATATTAGAGGTTTATATTAGTAATGTCTCGAACAGTTTCGAAAATTAGTGCTGTTCAATTATTTTTAAAAGAGTTATGCCCCTTGGAAATAATCATATGGCAATTGTATTGTATGCGCTCTCATGTGTACATTTCTTACCAGATTTTTACTGAACTCATTTCAAAGGTTTATATCAGAAATGTTAAGGACAAGTTCGAATATCAGTGCCGATCAATTATTTTTAAAGAGCTATGCCCCTTGTCAATATTGATTATATTGAAAATTTCATTGTAAGCGCTATCACGTGACGATTCTTGCCAGTTTTTTATCAAACTTATATCAAAGGTTCATATCAGCAATGTCTTGGACAAATTAAAAAATCATGGAAATATTAATTATACGGAGAATTGCATTGTAAGTGCTTTCAAGCCTACATTTCTCTAAGATATTTATAAAAAAAATTTATTAGTTGTTGCCCTTGGACATATAAAATATGTGCAACACAGGGGACATTGGAACTCTGTTCTTTTATTTTGCATAAATTTGCACAGAATACAAGCTCAAAACCATGTCTCAGATTTCTAATATAATGCCCTATTACGGAAAAATGACTGGATCTACCTGTATTATTGTTCTAATATTCAAAATTTATTTTTTTTAAACGGGACCTTATATAAAAAAATAGAGACACTGTTTTGAAGCATTTTTTAGTACACATGTTCATATTGAAGTAGGGGCCTCGGTGGCCGAGTGGTCTAAGTAGTTCTGTATCACTAGCCTGTCAACACTGAGGTTGTGAGTTCGAACCCCGCATGTGGCAGGTGAGCTCGACTCCAATTTTAATTGACAATGATTGTCAGTTTTCCTGCAGAAGGTCAGTGGTTCTATCCAGGCACTCCAGCTTCCTCCCCAATGGTCAATAGTGCTGAAAGTGGCATTAAAAACCAACCAATCAATCAATCAATCATTATGAAGTGAACTATTTAACTTCTATGCCAAAATGCCCAGTTCCGACAATTTAGACACTAACACAGATGCCAGGATTATAGAATGATTTAAAATGATCTATATCATCAATACAAATGTCACTAAATAAGATTTACAAATAAGCAAACATAACTGATTGCAATAAAGATAAAATTATATGTAAGAATATCAAAATTGAAAATTTGAGCGATTCAGGCTCTTAGGAGCCTCTTGTTTATTTCCCCACTCAAGGAATGCACATACTAGAGTCACCTTGTCTGTCCTTTGAGAAACGATTTAAAGAGTAAGATGATCACATACAAATGTATTCGATTATCATGATCATGTTTGTTGGATGTTCAATCCAACTTAATCTTTTCATATCTTCTTTATTTATTAAAGTGCTGTATGTTTCTAGACTTAAATAAATGAAAGTATGACAGAAATGAAATCAATGTTAAATTTATTTCAGATTAGGCATTTTCAAATCAGATCAGTCAACATGGAAAAATTTAGGAGGTCTAGACAAAGTTATTTCCCAACCAGATATTCGTTTATTTAAATATGGAGTATTTACAAAATCTTCAATAGATCGTAAGAGAGTTGTGTCTGTTGTAGAGGTAATCTATGTGTTTTTCTGACAAAATCTATAGCAACTTTATATGTAATGTAGATAGTTTGTATAATTGACTGGAATTATTCAACCCGAGGTACATGTATCACTGAATCAGCTGGTCTAGTGAGCTTTTGTAACTGATGACTATATATCAACAATATTTTGATAAGAAAAAAATGTAGCCTTGAAGAAAACCTGAGTAAGAAAGAATTAAAGCTCAGAAAAATTGCAGAAAATTGGTATAGATTTATCATTGGGTTCATTCATGCTATCTTTTAGTTGACTTTTAGCTGGCTAATTTATACAGGATACACTGCACCAAAAAATCCTGTGCCTTATGTTATCTGTTGTATTCACTTTTGACAATTTTGTTTTAAATAACCTAATAACAAAACCCAAACATGCAACCCAGAATGAGGAGATGTGGAGACAACATTAACTTTTGCAATTATAAACGAAAAAGGTGTTATATTTAAGCTGTTCATTTCTTTTATAATTGATGTAGTGTCGTTGTCTCGCCTGCGACGAAAGTGAGACATACGCATTACTATCTGGCGGCGGGGTAAACTATTTGTATAAAGCTTTATATTTCAGAAGGTAGAAGACCTGGATGCTTCATACTTAGTATGCAGATACCTTATGTTACGAAGTTTCTGTCTGTTATATGTCTAATGTCCTTGACCTCATTTTCATGGTTCAGCAACTGCTTGAAAAAAAATTATAGTTTTTTTGTTATGTAAATTTTTCACTTATTATGAGTAATAGGATAACTATATTTGGTATATGGGTTCCTTGCAACGTGACTCTACATGTCCATCACACAGGGTTCACCTGACCTCAGCCTCATTTCATGGATCAGTGATCAAGGTTAAAGTTACGTGATTAGGTCCGTTTCTCAGATACTACAAGCAGTAGGTCAGCTATATGTGGTGTATGGAATGATTGTAAGGGATACATGCATATATGTCAGTCTGGTAGGTTTCATCTGATCTTGACCTCATTTTCACGGTTCATTGGTCAATGTTAAGTTTTTGTGTTTTGGTCTGTTTTTCTAATACTATAAGCCATAGGTCAACTATATTTGGTGTATGGAATAATTGTAAGGTGTACATGTCTGTTTGGCAGCTGTCATTTGTCCTTGACCTCGTTTTCATGTTTCATTGGTCAATGTTAAGTTTTTTTGTTTGGTCTGTTATTCTAATACTATAAGCAATAGGTCAACTATATTTGGTGTATGGAATGATTGTAAGGTGTACATGTCTGACTGGTAGGTGTCATTTGTCCTTGACCTCATTTTCATGGTTCATTGGTCAGTGTTAAGTTTTCATGGTTTGGTCTTTTTCTTGTATACTATAAGCAATAGGTCAACTATGTTTGGTGTATGGAATGATTGTAAGGTGTACATGTCTGTCTGGCAGGGTTCATCTAACCTTGACCTCATTTTCATGGTTCATTGGTTAGGTTAAATTTTCCTGTTTAAGTCTGCTTCTTAGATATTATAAGCAATAAGGTCAACTGTATTTGATGCATGGAATGATTGTAAGGTGTACATGTATGTCTGCCTTGGTTTATATGACCTTGACCTCATTTTCATGGATCATTGATAATTTTAAGTTTATGTGATACTTGTAGTAAAAATTTATCTTTAGGACTATCAACATAAAACCAATCATGGTTAGTAAAACAGGCGAGACATTTCAGCGTGTGCACTCTTGTTTACTTCACACCCAGATTTTATTACCACTTATTTTAGTGATTTTTAAATTTCAGTAATCACCTATTTAAGTGATTTTGATGTTTCCTTTCATCTTCAAATACAGATTTCATGAATTTTTCACTAAACATGCTAAATGACAAATTTTTTTTATAATTTGCTTACATACATGACATAGATCATGGAAGTATTATATTGATAGGAACTACAACGATTTATTAGCACTTATTTATAACCCAGGGAGCGCTGTAGAAAAGATATGGAAACTGTGTAATTAGTACGCTATCTTTAATTTCCTTTTGTGACTATCTGCGATGCCGCCGTCATAATCTGACCAGAGATACTTTTTATCGATCACATGGTTTTATCGAGACAGGTTAACACTAATACCTGTCGGAAAACGCCTTTTGCTTATTTCAATCGCGTCAGTTGACCTTTAGCCATAAACAACTTTATATTAAACCAAATAGTGAGTGACAACATTTTATTTTTTCAGGGGGTAAGTAGCGGCCGAGTCCCGATAATCTTCATGATAGAAAAGGACACTGTGAAGAATCGAGTAATATATATAGTTAAGGGGCAGGGTGAGGCCTGAAAGTAGACATTTTCAGTCGAAAATACGAAAAATTAATCGAGCAAGTGCTAAATAACACAGAGAAATTATAATAACAAAAACAGTAAAAATAGGAGACGCACATGGTTATGTGCATATTTATATATGTGTAACGTGCGTTTTAATTTTTTCCAAATGTGAAATTCAAAACTGCTCAGATACTCGTATTTGAACAGACTTTTGCCGGTCCGGTAATATAAGCCGGGGTCAGTATTTCTATTTGTATACATGTATGAATGTACCAATTATGACTTATTATTTGACCCGTATTTATTAATTTGAATAAAAAGGAAGACATATAAATGTTATAGAATGGTTAAACCATCTCTGTCCAATATAATATTTTAACCATTCTGTCCAAATGATACTAGTATATATTATTTACAGTATATCAAGCTTAAAATACTTTCAACCACAGGCTCAGGGGAAACATTCTTATCATGCTTATTGTACTGATCAATATTTTATTAACCAAAATTTTGTAGATTTTAGGGTTGGGGGGGGGGGGGGGGGTGGGGGGGGGGGGGGGAGAGAGAGGGGAACAACATGTCACATGCACATATTAAGGATTTATATTTAGGTTCAAGTTCATTATTATAATTATCCCACCCTGGATTTAGAGCGAAGACTTATAATTCTTACATATGAAATGTATGCCACTGGACGTACGCGTTAAATAAACAGTAATCAATCACGCGATATATTCATAGTGCAATTTCTACCGAAAAGTAGATCAATAAACATGGTGCATTTATTCAACAGATATGGTACACTTCTCCATCGTCAAAGTGTTTTTCTAGAATTTTTAATGATTTCTCGCACACATCCATCAATCTATCAGCGGTTATCTTAGAATTTATGACAACTTCCGATTTCTTTATTTGTTTCCGTATGCGACACGCTGATGTGTAAATAACGTGCCATGTTTCAAGTAAATTAACATGTCATTAAATGGCACGGGGCATTGCAGATGAACCTTTTGAATTCTGGTCGTAGTAGTTCCTGTCAATATAATACTTCCATGCATAGATCAATTATCCCTTTCTGTTATTTATTAATTTCAGGAGTGAGCAAGGCCAGTAATTATAAGTTAGTGCTAGTGCGCAACAGGGATGGGCACGATTACTGACAAATGTAATCGATTAATAATCGATTACTTGAGGGATTTTTGTGTATTCGATTAATAATCGATTACTCTGATTTTTGTATGTAATCGATTGCAATCAATTACTTTATCAAAAGTAATTGGATTACTTTTCGATTACATGCTATAAAATTACAAAAAAATAATAAAGTAAGTTAAACACAAACATTTTGTTATGTATAGGGGAAATTTATAACTTGATCAAAACTTCATTGAAAGCATTGTTTTCAAAGTTTAAGTTGACAGTTTGTTTCTAGATAGAAGCTCTCACTGAGGATTTGAAATATTCAAAAATTCTTGAGTGAGATGTAATAAAGTTCTTGCAATGACACCACATGGCTTCAGTCACTTCTTTATAGTCTAGTTTATTTTCCACATGTCTCTATATTTTTCAAGTTTTGCTATCATAATGACTTAAGTTAGGTATTTTGTATTTATTAATTTTTAACTATATTTGATATAGTATATATTACAATTAAAATGTAAAAAGAAGAATAATTAACTAGTTCAGCTAATTTCAAAGATGTAAATTTATTATATTTGTAACTAATACATGCATGATTTAATTATTTTGTTTGGATAATCTCCCTAATTACAGGTTATAAAACTGCCAATGGAGTACATTTCATAACCTGGGGAAATATAATGTCAATCTCCTCTTAATTAGACATAATTGAAATCAAAACATCTTATTAATTAGAAGTCCTTGATCATCTGATTAGTATACACAGGAATTTGTTGGAATTTTTCTATACTCTATTCAAAATCATGATATTTAAGTAATAGTTATACACCGAGGGATAGGTGTGTCTGGATAAGAAACCCCGTCGGCCGGAGGCCGGAGGGGTTTCTTATCCAGACACACCCTATCCTGAGGTGTATAACTAACTTACACCCCATTCTAAACCCTATATTTGTTAACATTGATTATTAAATGAAAAAAAAAACAAACGATAGCATATTTATTGATAATATCAAACCATGATTTATTAAAATATTTTTTTTATAACATGAAACCCCACTAGTAACCTTTCTTTGGTTATCTTCGTTCAAACTTTGACAAGTGAGTATATTTTACAAATGTCAAAGTTGTTTTGCATATTCCCGTTAAATCCATGTGCTAATATGGATCAGCAGGTCAAGGTTGACTGTTTCGTGTATTCTTATTACAAACAAAAAAAATACATCATGCTCCTGGTATACAGTTGTCAATATGGACGGGTATAAGACGGACGACATTTTGTGGCAAGCGTTGGATTTGGTAGAAGAGACTAAAGATAAAGGCAATATTATAACCCAAAGTACTTACCTGTATCAGTCTAATAAAGGTAATCATAAATGTATTATATATCTTACGATTTTATCAAAAACAAACGCCCCCCCTCCCCCTCATCTCGAGAATAATCAAACATTCATATTCGAACATACTAAGGAATAGGTGTGTCTGCATTAGAAACCCGACTACCAGACACGCTCAACATACAATATTTAATATTTTTTTTGGGGGGGGGGGGGGGGGCAATCAGGGGCTGA